ACAAAAATGGCTCAGGAGACAGCTCAGGAGACGGCTCAGGAGACGGCTCAGGAGACAGCTGAATTGCCGCACGTTCGTGCCACTTAGTGAGGCCCTGTCTCCATTTTTAAAAATGGCGTGGGCCGGGCTGTAGCTGAGGGCGCTGGCTCAGGGGCTAGCCCCAGTACACTGCGTCAGTAAACAAACAGCTGCTTTGTGGATTCACAAAAATAGGACACTGACTACTGTTTGAAGCTTTCGCTTTTTCTCCAGGTTTGTCAAGGGCTATATAATGAGCTACTTGAAAATGGAATCTCTGTGTGGCCTGGTTATTTGGAAACTGTACATTCCTCATTGGAGCAGCTTTATTCCAAGTAAGATGACTTACCTTTCTGGTCGTTAAAATGTATTTGATTATATATATTTCTTTAGTTTATAACAAACAAACCTCAAAATATATATGCAGTATAATTAAAATTATTCCAAGCTTTCCCTTTTACAGAATGATGTGTCCTTAGTTACTTATTGTGTCACAAAACACGCAGCAGATGTGTTTGAGTGCGCACTGTGTGCCATCCCAAGACAGGGCCACAAAGTAGCCCTCGTTTATTTATCAGGATGAAGTTGTGTGCTGAGGGCGCTGGCTGAGAGGCTAGCCCCTGACTGCAGCGCCTGTTCCTTGCTGGTATTTTGGGTTACTCAGAGTAAAAGAGAAGTCTATTTGGGGGACAGAGAACTGCCCTGAGGGACTGGCACCCCACTTCCTTGATCACTGTAGACTGAAGCTGGCTTCTTGTTGATCATCCCTGACCTGGAAGTTCAACATCCAAAATCTGAAACCTCCTGAAGTCTAGAACGTTTTGACCACTGGTGTTTGTAACAAGTGGCACATCCCACCTGGCACCATGTGCAGGGTGTGGTCAAAAGACAGGTGCTAGCTGGAGAGAGAGCATAGCGGTTTACGCATTAGGCTCTACAGCAAGAGGTCGTAGGTTCGAGTCTCAGGTCTGCCTTTATTTTTTATTGGGGCCAGGGAGATGGCTCAGTAGAATAAGCGCTTGCCTGGCGAGTGCAAAGGTCTGAGTTCAATCCCTGGTTCTGCCAAAAAAGAAAAAAGACAGGTGCACAGAAATAAAATTAGCTTCGGGCTGTGTATATGAGGTGCAGGTGACAAATAAGTCGGGTGTGGTGGCACTCACCTGTATCCCAGCACTGGGGAGGCTGAGGCAGGAGGATTTTTGCAGGTTCAAGGCCAGCCTGGAGGCTGGGGAGATGGCTCAGTAGAATAAGCACTTCCCTGGCTAGCGCCAGGGCCTGAGTTCAAGCCCCGGTTGGGGTCTGGGGAGGCCAGCCTGGGCAAATTCAAGGGCAGTGTCAACTTTTGTATTTTTCGAGACATGGTCTCACTATGAAGTTCATATCTCTAAATTAATCTCAAACAACATTACTTTTTGCAGACATTGCCTAAGATAGGTCACTAATATCTTTTGTCTGGATAATTGAAATGGCCTCCTATTTGCCTCTGTCCCTAATCTTGCTAGTGTGCTATCTCATCAGGTTTTTTAAAAATAAAGTAATTCGGGGCTGGGGAGATGGCTCAGTAGAATAAGCACTTCCTTGGCAAGCGCAAGGGCCTGAGTTCAATCCCCAGTTCCGCAAAAAAAATTAAAAAATAAAAAATAAAGTAATTCGTTCTTCCTGTTTATTTTGACTTCTTAAAGTTCTTTGTGTTGAATGCACACCCTCTGGGTAAGGCCTGAGCTTTTTATTTTGCTCTTGAGTTCTCTAGTGACTTGTTAAAATATACTTCCAGATGAAGTCTGCAGAAAAGTAGCATTTGGTTTATGTTTTCATTTGTTTGAATACTGCGGCTCAGACCCAGGGGCCCCCTGCTACTGAGCTGCACCCCCAGTCCTTTTATTTTGAGACGGTCTCACTAAGCTGAGAGTCAAACTTAACAGGCCTCCCGCCCAGCCTCCCTGAGCGCTGGGATCACAGGCCGGAGCCGCCACATTCAGCTCAACTAGCTCTTCTCTACGTAGGTGAGTACAGCACTTATAAAATGAAGGGGTGGTGCTTGGGCTTTCTCATCCTCGCTGGTTCTAGAATTCTTGGAGTCAGATGGACACAATCAGATTTGATTTGTTCTTTTCATTGTTCAGGCTTTGTTGTCCCAGAGACTTCTATCCAAATATGTATTAAGCACCTGTTACTGTCTTACGCACTTCGATATGACAGTGAGTGGATATGACAGGGGAGCTCATATTCTAGTAGAATAAAAAAGACAGTAAAACTAGGTAAAATAAGACATTTACGGAGGTAATACGACTTGGTGAGCAGCAAGGAGACCAGCGATTGCTAGACAGGTATTACAAGGCTTCGTGTACTAAGTAGGAATTAATGCACGAGTTGGTAAAATTTGTTATATGGTGGATCTTTATTATAATATCAATACTTAATCTAAAATAATTGTTCTCTGCCTAGCCAGTGCAAGGTCCTGAGTTTGATTCCCAGTACAGCTAGATTCCAAAAGGCTGAGGTTATTACAAGGCCAATATGTAAACCACGCCAAGTGGCGTCCTTGGGGGGCAGGCTTATTCCTCAGGCTTGCTTGCTTGCTTGCTTTTTTTTTTTTTTTTTCATCAGGGATCAGGATCTTGCGCTTGCCAGGCAGGTGCTCATGCAGCTGAGCTTACTTTATGGCTCTTTAGCTATACACTGTCAGAAACTCTCCAGAAATTTGACTTTGAATATAATTCACAAGCAAAACATGTTGAATATTTTCCATGTAACTAAAAAAAAAAAAAAAATTTCCATGTAGTTCTCAAACCTTGACTTTGTACTCATGGTTGAAAGTGACATGGACTCTGAAGTGACAAAAGCTGGGGCTGTGGAGGTGACAGTCAGTGTTGAGCTCATGCCATCTCGTGAAACTGCTTTTTTCTTAGATATGATGAGATGAGCATCCTCTTCACAGTTCTGATTACTGAAACCACTCTGGAGAATGGCTTGGTACAGCTGCGAAGTCGAGATACCACGATGAAGGAAATGATGCATATATCAAAATTAAAGGACTTTTTGATCAAGTATATATCATCGGCTAAGAATGTATAGGTTTCCATATTTATATAATAAACATTCTTGTTTGCTAATTTGTCAAATGTTGGCTTAGCTTTTTTTTTTAGTTTTTTTTTTTTTTTTTTTAATGCATTTAATACAGGGTCTCACTACACAGATCAGACACCCAAATGCACTACATCCAGTCTCAGTCTCCATCTCAGTGCGCCCGGAGGGCAGGGCCGGCACAGCATGCTGGGGATTGAACCCTGGTCGCTGGCTCTGCCTAAGCAGGCGCAGTGGGCTGGGATTCAATCCCTGGGCCTGTTGTGCCAGCCCCGCCCCTGGGCACACTGAGACAGAGATTGAGACTGGGCGTGGTGGCTTGCGCCTGTCATCCCAGCTCTTGGGAGGCTGTAAACGGGGATCATGAGTCTGATCTAGTAGTGAGACCCTGAACACCCTGTAGACCCTTCCCTAAAATACAGAAAAAATAAACTGAGCTAAGCAGGTGCTTTAATCTGCTGAGCTTATCTGGCTGGCCCTTGTATTTTTTTAGTTCTTTTACACTTATGAAGTAGACATTTTTGGTGTTTTCTATCATTCATGTTTTTCATTATATTTCTGATATATTCCACTGTATCAAGAATGTGTTGATGGGCTGGGGAGGTAGCTCAGCGGTCTAAAGTGCCCTCTTAGGCAGGCGTAGGCAGGCGTAGGCAGCCGCAGGGACCGCAGTTCGATCCCCAGCTCTACATGCTGTGCCAGCCCTTCCCCTAGGGCGGGCTAGGCCGGCCACAAAAAAAAAAAAAAAAAAAAAAAAAGAATATGTTGAACTACAAAAAACAAAAATCCTGCTTTACTGGATTAAGCAAATAGGGGTTTGTTTTTCTCAGTTAACATGAAATTTATGGGCGAGTCTTTCCCAAGCAGTGTAACTTAATTCTCTAGTTGGGAAACCAGGCACCTTCTTTCTGTTCTGCTGCCTGTGGGGATGGGGGAGGTTACCAGGACTCAAACTCAGGACCTTACACTTGCCTGGCAGGTGCCGTGCCACTGAGCTAAATCCATGGCCCTGACTTTTGTGTTTATGTTTATTTCATCATGATCGCAGTCATCTGCTGTATTTTCAGCCTTCTCCACCTGATTGGCAGGCAAATCGGAGACAAGGGATCTTCCCCTTGAGTTAGCAAAGTTCAGGCTTCCCTGGCTGCTACAGTCAGAGGGCTCCTTCACGTCTCATTGATCAGAACTGGGTTGCATTGCAATTCTTAGACCAATCTCTAATGAGAATATCCTGATTTAGATAAAATGTAATTTATCTCTTTTTTTATGTATTTAGCACAGGGTCTCACCACACAGATCTGATTTGTAGTGATCCTCTTGTTTTCAGCCTCCCAAGTGCTAGGATTACAGACAGGCATGCACTCCCACATCCGGTTTAGGTGGCCAGCTTGGCGCAGGGCCGGCTCATCAGGAATTGAATCCAGGTCCTTGTGCTGGCCAGGCAAGCACTTGGATGCTGAGCTATCTCCCCAGCCCCTTGGGTGGGCTTTGACGGCACCCTGGCTGACACATCTGCTTACACGGTATCCTGCTGTGTTTCTCCATGGAAACCTGGCTCCGCGTAGTGGAAAAAGAACTTGGAAGCTGTAGCGCGGATACGGGATGCGGGCTGAGCGTCGACAGGCTGTGCAGGCCCTTTAGGATTCCGTGCTAGCAGGCACACACTGGTGTGCATGTGCATGTGTGTGTGTGTGTGTTTCACTCTTGAAAAAGTTATTCACAAGTTTCAGTTCCAATTTAGGACTACAGGGCTGGGGAGATAGCTCAGTGGCTTAAGTGTCTGTCCGGCAAATTCAGGACTACAGAGGGTTGAGTTTGTGTAAGTTTTAATCATTTTTGTTTCTGTTTTACATCATACCCAGTGCCTCACACATTGTGGGCAAGGACTGTACCACTGAAAAATGCCCTCCACCATAATCAGTTTTATTAAGATATAATTTTTATGTAATAAATTTGCCTATTTTAAACATATCAATTGATGTTTTGGGCGTTGGGTTTTTTTTT